CACTCTGTTATTATGTTCAGTACTGATCTCACTTAAGAAATAAGGTTGGACCAGTTGGAAATAGACATGTTCGGATCACATAACATGTAATTTCCATGCTACACTCCCATAATTGATCTATGTCATTTGGTTGTATGGGTGTACGTGACCATTGATGGATTTAGTCACGCTAAATGTGACGAAAATCTCTTTGATCCTACATCGATGTAACTAATGGACGAGATTGTTTGGAAATACCTTTAATAACTATAGCACAATTTTGAGCTCATAAGTCTGTGCACATTTATAATGTAACATGTTTGGCCCAGTGGGAGATTGTTGGAAAAAAATTCCAACTTAGGGGCCACACATGTACATTTATTAGAATGTGTGGTGCTATTTTAAAGTAAATATAGTCGATAAAGTGATCCATTGGATTTAATTTTGGACTAATGGGTATTAAATTTTATGGGATTAAAGTGTAGAGACCAGAAGGTGTTATTTTGAATTGATGAGGGGTCGATTTGAAATAACTTAAAGTTAATAACTGCCAATAGCAGTTATTTTTAAAAGTGGTTATGGTCCCCAATTTGAACGTGATTTTCTTTGGAAAATATCTCTGCATCCCCATCAACAGAGACTTTGAAGAAAACCAAAAGGAAGGAGAATCACGTATCAATTGGAAGATCAAAACCCAATTAAAGCAGTAAGATTCATGGATCAAGGTATGTTTCCGCACTTTTTGTTGTCTCTTTGATTTCAACATGGAATTTATGATTTTATGAAAGGATTTTAGGAATATGGTTCCTTTCAAATTTATGCAACAAAAACAAGTGGATGCAATTGCCCATTAATATCCTACCAAAAATGGCCTAATAAAAGGCCCAAGTACCTGTGGAAATGGCCGAAGTACCTGTGACCGTCCTAGCATGTATGCGTATCAATCCCACTGCAAAAACGGAAGATTTGCTGCAAAAAGGCCACATCACTTTGCTAGAAAAAAATGTTGCTATCCTTGCTCTCTTTGGTAGAACAAACTGGCCAAAACTTTCCAATTTTCGATGATCTTTCTGTATGTGGTATAACGCGATTAATTTACCAGTTTCCACAGATGACGTCAATCTATTGACCTCCAAAAATGGCTCCAACGGATGCCCCGAACTCGTCCCCTCCAAACCTGCACATATAGCACCCTGTCAAGAGGTAAAGACGGTTGGACGAGAAAAAGGTCCGGTGATCGTTTGCACTCCGACGGTCGAACGTAGATAATTACATAGAGTGCAATAGTATAGAGATGATGAGATTTGACTACAGTGTTCAGACCTACCTTAATTGTGTGAATGAATCCATACATATAGAGAAATGTGAGTGAAATGGGCTAAACGAGTTAGTGAGCCTAAGTTTGAGCCCATTAAGGAGGTGATTATATAAGCATAATAATAGGCACCTCAGTAGGTGCCTTGGCTGCACTTCTTAGGGCCTCGATGGCACTTCAGCTGGCTTGTTTAGAGTCTCGACTTTGGGGCCCAACTCTAATGGGTCTCGTCCAGGTCAAATAAGATGATCCAATATTAGATGATAATTTATATGTGTAACACCTTTCTAGGGAGATGAGATGAACGAATACTCTACAACCTTGCTAAGTCTCCTTTGGTGTAGCTATCAATGTACAACGAACTTTTTCAGTGATAGAATTATGAATTAAATCGATTGGAGTAACGGATGAAGGTAACTAGTAATATGGAAGAAATACTCACTTGAGGGATCATTGAAATTTGAAACCGATAATAAGGTTCTCAAAATCAATTAAAACTTCCTTGTCAAATGTGATGAATTTTTTGAGCAAGAATGAATTCTATGTTAATTTTTGAAAGGTTAAATATGAATTGCGACAATGTTAAATTGCGCATAGGTTGGGAACAAAATACCCGTAAATGAAACAAGGGACGGGTTGGGCCCACCAGGCCCAAATTTTAAGGCCCAAATCTGAATAAATACGTATTTCCAGTTTATTTTGGGAAAGAAAGCTAACATTTTTCAAATCGATGCCCGATGGGGGACAACAGTGGAGCAACTTCCACCGCTGCGGATGATTTGCTGCTAAAGCAATTCTTCGCTGAAGTAAGCGAGGTTGAGCGCGAGAACGAAGTCAGCAGGTTTTTTTTATTTTATTTTTACGTATTTTTCGTTTTTGATTTATGGTGGAAAAAATTTATTTTAATTGGTATCAGTTAGGGTTGAGTTTTGTTCTTTGGTTTATGAATTTCCTAAAATATATGAAGCTCGGGTAAGATATTTTCATATTTATTGTGGAATGAATGGAGCTATGGTTAAGTTCTACTTTTCGTATACTAGAGTGATGTCTATATATCGTTCGAGAAGTGTTGTCTCGTTTGATTGATGAAGTTAAAAATTTGATCCTGAATTTTTTAAAAGTTAGTGCTAGTGTAATGGCAATTTGCCTTTTTCATCTCTAGACATGAGTTCTGGAAAGTTATTTATTCAAACAGACCTGCCTCAGAAGAATGGTGGATTAATTAAAGAAAATAGGAGAATAACTAAGCATCTCACCTAGATCCCCATGTGTCACATTATGGGTTTGATTGTGTACCATAATCCCCATAAAGGCTTTAAAAGCTTAGTAAACTATCAACAGCTAAATGTGTAATTAATTAAAGAAAAGTACACTTATTTGTATGGACTCCACAAATTCTCCATCCCTGTCAAGAGTTAAACCTCCTTCAAAGGAAATTAGTTGAACAGACCACTGAACTGATACCAGATCTTACACCAAGATTAATACTATAAATCTATAAAATTTGCTAGAATGCCATTGGATTGACAATATAAAGAATACTAGTTTAAACGCAAAATAAAAGTGTCGGGGCTAAGGATTGATTTGTTGGATATTAAATATCTTAAATGGAGTTTGTATCTTTCCCGAATTCTCTTTTTACATTGACTGTTCCTGATCCTTCCAATTTGTGATTTCTACTTGTGTACTTAAATCGACAGACACCAACACACACACACACACACCACGTTTCTGATTTCTACATCTTGAGCCAACATATCTTTGTCACTTTTGGGTTGCTGTAGGATCCTTTCATGCTTCAAGTTGAATGCATTTGAATATCTTAACCTACCATTTGATTCATCTATAGATGAAGTGAAAAAGCAATATCGTAAGGTGATCTCTTTCATCATATCAAATGACCATTTCTGTTGATAATTAATATCTCCGAATATTCGCAAAATGTGTTTAACACTAATTTTCCCTCTTGCAGTTGTCTTTGCTAGTTCACCCTGATAAATGCAAACATCCACAAGCAAAGGAGGCATTTGCTGGTAAATAAGTCTCTTCTTGCTTTAGTAGGAAGTATGTGATTATGGATTTAGTCTACTCTATGCGACCTCTGTAATTGTTACAGAAATCTGGCGATGACGTTGTTTCTAATTCTATAGCATGTATGCGCAGAGAAAGACTGTGCATACATGTATTCTTTTTCAGTTAAAGAACATTGTTTGTCAAAAATAGGAGTAGAAGTAGACTTTTCGGGAGAACCAAATAGCTGTTTATTCCCCACTTTTTACTCCATTTTAACCAATCAATTGCTCCAATTCTGTGATTTTAGGGTGTTCATTATTTGAGACTTTCTTTAGTCTAGTTTATGGTAAATAGTGCACAATTTGGAAGGTTTTCAGGTGTTAAGTTGCTGTTGTAGTTAGGATATGCATTTTAAAGTTTGTTTAAGTACTAGTTCGGTCGATAAACTGCTATTCGAGGAGGTGGAAATAATTAGCATATCGGCGAATGTGGTATTCCCTCTAATAGATACAGTAGTGAATCAAAATATGTGAATTTGAGTGGAGATGGTATATTTTTATCAGTAATTATAAACTTTTACTGCATTCGTGACAATAGTCTCCAGCATCAGTTCCATGCCAACTGAACATCTCAGTATAGTATTTCTTGTCCATTCTTCTACTACAGGGACAAGACTCCAGTAGAATTCAAAATTTCTTTTTACAACTTTTTTAGGTGCTTAAAAGTTGTGCTTCCATTTTGAGCTGATGTTGTCTTTGTTTATTAAACAGCATTAGCAAAAGCTCAACAAATATTACATGAGCCGGCAGAGAGGGAATATCTTTTGAACCAAGTTAATGCAGCAAAAGGTTTGTGCTAGTTGATTTTTTGTTGAGGACTCCATGTTTTGCGCTGCCCTTATTTTATTCTGTTAAAAAATTCTTTAAAAACTATCACTGCTTTGGGGCTTATATTCTCAGTCCAGCAACTAATCTTTTCACTTCATCTTATGGAATATAAACACGAACGATTTGTTTATTTGTCAATGAGTAATGTTTGATTGATCTAGTGCCAGCAAGGGTACACCCTGTATAAAATGCAAATGCAGCAAACCCATTATTTCAGAAAATATTGTGTTGAGAAACTTAATGTGCCAACCATAGAAGTTGATCCATGCCCGCAAGTTCAAAAGTCTTATATTGAGAAGTATAGATTTGTTATAAGAAGCTATCCTTTCGTGTTCTCACAATTTAATAATTAGTTTTCTCTTCTGTTAACTTAGTGGTGCGCTCTAGCCTTGATATAGTTCAGTTCAACAAATGACAATCCCAATTACAACTTCCTCTTTTGTTATGTTGTTCTTCTCCACTCCCTTCCAATCATTTTTTGATTGAACCTTTAGTGAAATTCTTGAATTTCCATGCATCCTTTCTAATTGAACATAAAAGTCCAATCTTATTTTTCCCTTAGGAATTTGAAATTTTCAAATTTTTATATTATAGTGATGCTTTATAAGTTGTGGTGTGTGCTTTCTCTTTCACTCTTCTTACCCTTAAATTTTTTTTCTCCTTTTCATTTGGTGTTCGATGTTCCTTTCCCATGTGCAACATTATTTCTTTAATTTTTTGGGAGCTTTGTAATCTTTCCATTTTTTATTTATTATTATTATTTTTATGGCTTTTGCTTATTCTGTATTAAATGACTAATCTTGAAGAACGCTCACTGTTCTAATTATGGAGTGCAGAAGAGCTTAGAGCAAAAAGGAAAAAGCAGCTGAAAAAAGATACTGCTAATAAATTGAAGTCATTAGTGGATGAGGTAATTGACTAACACCAACACTACTCTCAAGTATTTTTTACTGACCAAAGTTCTGAGGTGATAATGTACTGCTTTCACAGGTTATATGCTTTTTTGCCCTTAATCTGTGCTTCACCTTTCCCCCCTGCATCACAATATCTAACATTATTGCTGATCAGCAAGAAAGAGAAGAAATATAGAAAGAGAATACTTCTTTACCCATTTGTGATTGAAATTTATATATATAACTATAATAAGATTACTGATTAGATGACAAACAACTCATTGACTTATTTTCAAGAAAACATGATACAGGGAAAATATGAGCAAGAATATGAACGGTCAGAGGAATTCCAACAGAAACTAAAATTAAAAGTTCGTGAACTGTTAACAGATCAAGAATGGAGGAGAAGGAAAATGCAGATGAGGGTATGTGCACCACCGCACTTGTTCTACCTTTGATGATTACTTTCTATATCAACATTCTATTTTTGAATTTCGTAGATATCAGAGGAGGAAGGTAGATTAAAGAAAGATGAGGAAGAAACTAAAGAGATGTGGAAAAGAAAGCGTGAACACGAGGAGCAATGGGAAGGAACAAGAGAACAGAGGGTTAGTTTCATACATACATAATTTTTATGGAATTGTCCATGTTATAGCATGTTCAAGCATGCAATATGATTAAGAACCTGGGTCTGCCACCTTGTATTCTAAATAATACAGTTTCATACAACATAATTTATGGAATTATCCATTTTATATCTTGTTCTAGCATGCAATATGATTCGGTAATGTTGGCCCTGGGTCTACCAGGTTGTATTCTTATTCAGCACGCATTGTGTTGCAACGTGATTTTGTTGTCAAGGCTGCTTGTTTATATTCTATATGCCATTTGTGCATGTGAATATTTAAAAATTGCAAGTAGGCATATTCTCATGTTGAAACCTTGTAATTTGATTGTGCAAGAAATTTGTATGCTGGTTGGTATGGAAGAAAGATGGAAGAATTGGAAAGTTAGATGAGGGGAAATATGTGCTGCAAATGTTGGTTGCTGGTGTTAACCCATCAGTATTGCTTGCAATATTGTGGATAATGGAACTACCAATATATGCAGTTAACTGTTGATGATTCTCTATCTTGTCCTCAGTATTCACTTCTTCTTTTTTGATAGACCCAAATAAAAGTTGACCACTGTGTCATCAAACTTCAGAAAATAATGATGCACATTCTGGTTTTCCATCCTTGATGCAAAAAGTCTGGACATTTCTTTCATTGGCATTTCTTCCTCCCTTCCCAACTTGAGGCCATTTTTATTAGGACATAACTATTTTGGTCAAACTTGAACAAAATCGTCTCATCCCATACGCTTTGCCCTCGGGTAGTATTTCTCTCGGTATTTGCATGGACATCTGCCATTTTTCATAGACTCTGGACTAGACATTGTAGCTTGTGGTTCATTTATTCGGTACAGGATCCTTAAATTCCATGAAATGAGCTTTTCATTCTTTATGGTTGACTATCTCTATTTTACACCAGGTTTCCAGTTGGAGAGACTTTATGAAAGGTGGAAAGAAGGTGAGACTTCACTGCTGCTTTCATTTAGGGTACTTGTAGTTGTGGAAGGATTATTTATTGCGTTTCACCAATTTCTTTTTTGTACTTGTGCAGGTCAAGAAAGGAGAGATTCGGCCTCCAAAGCTGAAGACGGAAGATCCAAACAAATCCTACGTTCAAAGACCTGTGAAACGAGGCTGATTATCTCTGGCGCCTGCTTATTGATCATTAACCGACTTAAGCTAGAGAAGGCTTTGCTTACAATTATATCAAATTTTAGTGACTTGATTACTGTCCCATTCATCATGGCCCTGTTATGTAAAAGTACATGCATTTTAATCTATTGACATATTCGGAAATGTATAATTCCTAGTGTAATAGCTTCTTAAATATCACCTTTGTAGATTGAATATTGTAATGGCTGCTATAACATAGTTTTGCCTTGATAATAATAGTTCGACTAATATGATTAGACAGTATATTGGTTCCTTGATTAAAGGCATTTTTTATGACTTGTTTCTTTAATCTCTCAATTGATATGATAATATAAATATTTAAATTTTACAGTTCAAGCAAATGTCAATGAAATTTATATGCTGGCTAGGTTTATTTATTTATTATTAAAACTTTTTTTAATTTTGTTAAAACCTATAGCATACTGCAATTCCCTAAATGCAACCGTATGTTAAATAACAGTTGAAAAAGGAAGAAATTATTTTTCCTCGTTCTCCTGTAGCTGGAACATTCGGAACTAGAGGAATCCCAAGTTAGAATGGGATTCCAACTAGGCACCTTTGTCGCAAATCGAAAGTTTAAAATTTTGAGGGAGCAGCTATTTTTTGTCTGACTTATATATTCATCCACTTCTTTAGAAAAACAACTGTTCAAAATAGAATTGTAAATATCAGATCTGGATTAAATCGATGAATAGGAATAGATGATGAATTTTAAGCTGAATTGATTTACGTTCTTTTATCCAAGGAAATTATATTACATTTCTAACCTCAAGAATATTTACTTAAATAGACAAATAAAATTAAGTAAAATATATTATTCTAAATCTATCCACTTTAGGATAGGTCGGCCATCACTTTCTATTGCCATACATCCCTGATCCACACCAAGACTTAATGCTATGATCTGCAAAGAAAAGGTTCTTTAAACAGTAATGGCATCTGATGTCCACCAAAGCCACCCCTGCCCTTGGCTCTTCGAATTCCAATGCAAAGATTCCCATTTTCTATGATGGAGGAAATTGTTGAGAGGGGAGAAAATTTTTAGGACAATAAATTTCTCATCTTATCAACATATATCCATATTGCTGTTGCTATCACAAGTCTCAATTGCATAACAAAATCTTTAGTTAAGGACTAATTTAATCATCTCATTGCTTTTTCAAAATTTTCTACTTTGTCTTCCCACTAAATTATTATTCAATGATAATGTAGCAATTTCATTTTTCCCCCATGAATCCACGAAATATTTTGTAAAAATTTTAATCTTTTCTTGCGTCTGGGCTTTTGCAAATAGCTACGCAGTCACAAAATTGCAACTTTCTGAATTTTCACTCTTAAAAGTGGACTTTTTGTTGAAAATATCCCTTTTGTACTTAACTCGCTCGAGGATTATATGCAACTTTAATGTCTTTCTTTTCTTTTTAATAATTTTGTATTTTCATTCAATGCACTTGTTTTTGTTTTGATTATTGAGTAATTTTCTAGATTTGTCCAGAAGAATTAGAACTAGACAAGCACTTTTGTTAACTGTAAAAAAAAAAGACATGAACTTGTTTTAGAGATGGCACTCTGGCTAATCGGCTCGGGCTGCCTCGTGGCTTGGCCCCAAAAAAGCCTGAGCCCCAATTTGGGTTGCCGAGTCAAGCCCGAGCCGATCTGTGTGGCTTGTGGGCCTTTATAAAAATAAAAAATATATATATTCAAGGCAGCACATCTTGAAGCTAGCAACCTTTTAACGTTGCTGCCTTAAATAAGGCAGTAGGCTTGCTACCTGTATATTAAAAAAATAAAAATAAAAGTGAGCCTACTCAACTCGACTCGAAAAGACCTGAGCTGAAAACTCGAGTCGAGCCTCATTTTCCAAAGCTCAAGCCCCAAAAAAAGCTCGGACACTAAGCCCAAGCTAAGGATTTCGATTCACAAGCCAGCTCAACTCAACTCATTGACATTCCTAACTTTTTAAAATTGGTTGCATTTCTTCTTCCTTTCGTTTTTATCAAGATCTCTAATTTATCCATGTGTTGTTTAACATATAGATAGTTTACCTATTCTTGCCTCAACATATGATAGTTTCCTAATAACTTGTAAATTATTGAGATGGATGAAAATTTGAGAACAGAAAATGGGAATATTTGTATTGAAATTTGGTGCGGATGTATAATTTAAATGAATAAATGTAGCATTTTTTATAAAATTTAAAATTTTAATAACGATGAACTGAGAGCGGGATAGACACATAAAAATTATTGATGGAAATAACAATACCCAAATTTTATCGTATAAAAGGTTTCATTGAGATCATAAAAAACAGGATACTAATTTGCACTGAAATCATAAAAACCTAATGGCATACCAGCCACTGCTAAAGAAAAAAAAATAAAAATAGCTACTTAATTTTCACTCGTAGGATACATTTGTAGAGTAAAAACACAAATTGCACAACCCAGCCACACCCTCTAATCTCTATTATACATGAATGAACAAGATCTTTACACCGTATCTCTCTCACCAATCACGTATTAGGGACCTTGGGGTCCTTCAAAAGCAGGAAAAAAAAATTACCTGTGGAACAAAAGAATATAGGACTAACAAGAAATACACAATCTTCCCACTGAAGGAAGAAATGACAAACGCTGTAACTTCTACATGTTTGAGCCTCATTTATGAGTAAATTTTTGGAAACTCTGGACTGCTGAAAAGAAGTCGAAAAACTTGCCTTGGTAAACTTGTCTCTTCATCATCTGGCAACGTTTGAAGTGCATGAAAGATACTGTGAGTCCAAAGCCTTCAAGTCCCTCGCCCGCCACAAGTGGATACAGATGTTCCAGGAATCATCACATTGCATCATGCTATGTACAAATGATTGGAAGTTCCGGGTTTTAGAATAGGGTCTTGAAGACGTATAGGAAAACCACCCGAGAGCGTGATCTAGACCCAAGCTACAGAACCTCGGTCGTTAGTAACTTGTTGACGCCCTCTGGTTGGCGTAGGTGGTCTGTTAGCATTAAGCTCCTAGTTTGACAGCACAAGTAAAATTATCTCGGCAAGAGATGAGAAGAAACTGAATGGAAAAGTAACACATCACAAAACTGAAAGATACATTATCACCTGCATCCACGTATCTTCTGTATGGTGATCGGGTGAGGTTTCTGGAGATGAAATTGCAGGTGGCAACGGATGAATAAGTTTTGGAACCACCACTAAATCTCTTCCCAAAACCAATATAGCACCAGCATTATTTGCAGTACCTGCAGAAGAATATTATAGTTGAAACTTCAGAGATCAAGTCTAACTGAGAAAAATAAAAAATTGATTGGCTGATCTACTAGTGTCATTATTCAAGCAATAAGTAATTATTTAATCATTCAGGGACATACCGCAGTAATTTGTGGCTGAAAAGAGAGTAATTAAATGACCCTGAGCAAATCTTTCAAAACCATCCATCGCACATTCATGTGCTCGAACAATCAATTGAAGATCATTGTTATTACAAAATTCCATTACACGATCAGGCTGCAAAACAGAAACTTGTATGAGCCAAAACGTTTTAACTCTTAAGGAAACCAAATAAATTCTCCTATTGTAAACCAGCATCTAATATGGTACATATCATTAATAACATTACTATTTTCATTTTTAATATTAAAAATAAAAAAAATAAAAAAAAAATCCTTCAACATCCATAGAATACTTCACTTGAACTTCTAAATTTACACGAAACATCTCTAGATCTTCCTTATTTTTTTATTTCCTGTGAATTAGACCTTAATCAAACTCAACTACCCTCTCTTGTATTTTCAACCCATCTTTATTCTTATAAATATATAAATGTGCGTTTCATTGCAAGCATATAATTTGCATGGAAAGGAAATAAATTCTAAACAATTCAATTGCCTACAACTTATTTTATGGAAATTATTAATTAAATGTGTGTTTGATTGCCTTAGTTTTCAACCCACAAAATATTACACTTGTCCATTTTTTATTGGTAGGTAGATGAGAGAACGAATTTCTTGGAAAATAAAATCTTACTCCCTCTAACAAAAATATTTTCCTTGAATTTGAGGAAAATATGGTCACGTGATCAAAAGTAGGGAAATGTTTTCTATTGAAAAAAATGTCAATCAAACAGCACAACAATAGGAATTTGGATGAAAAAATACATTTTTCATAGAAAATATTGATAATTAAACTCACCCTAAGTTATATTATTCCTCCATTTACCACGCACCCTTTTACTCTCAGAGGTAATTGAATAATATCATCAGCAACATGACATGATAACTAACTCATCTGGACATTTAGACAGGGAATCCATCTATACCAATAGATTTCCTCTATATGAAGCTCATATCTTTCTAGTATAGTTACCATTTATATCTTCAATAGAATTTACAAATCCCAGATGATATTACGCGTTACTTTGTTCATTGTCACATCTTCATATCTTGAGTTACCTTTCCCCGCATGATAAATCGTTCACCAAACAACACACACCAACTTTGAGAGAGAGAGAGAGAGAGAGAGAGAGAGAGAGAGAGGGATGACTAGTATAATCATAGTAAAAAAATGGGTGCATAATAGTCATCACATATACCTAAATAATCAGAATTGAAGAAACTAACCAAGAAAAAAGAAAAAAGAAAACCCCTACCCCAAAGGTAACCAATCCAGGACCTCTTGCATTTGGTCGTAATCCTTCTACACTGTCATTTTCTGTGGGATCAGACCTACAAATAAATATTCACTTATAATACTAGAATTATGGAAAAATAGAAGAATTATAACAAAAACATAGCAAGGACAGACATGCACTAACCACAACAAATCCATAAGGACAATTGATCCTGCTTCCATCGTAATTGGACGCTGAATATTCTCAATTTGTTCCACATGGTTCATTGATCTTCCAATACCACCATGCGTACAAATAATTTTTTTCTCAATTAATGCGGCCAGAGGAAGCCAGTTGAACAATCTGTTTATCCGCTGCCATACCCAGACCCCATCTCTCTCGCCCTGTTTCATACAGTCTTAAGAACAACTTTATTCAGAAATGAGAGAAAATCTTATAAATCCTACTATAATTTACCATGCGTTCAATGCACTCAATTCGAAACCCAAAAAGTGCATTGATATCTGCAGCTTCATGATTTCCGCGAATTAAATGTATTTGATGGGGATGCTCAACCTGCGAATTCATTTATTTTCATGAGAAAGCATTAGATCAGTTCATTATGGAC